GTCGGTTCTGGTGTCCAATCTCCAGACTGGCCTCTCCACGGTGGGGTGCTGATGCCACAGGGCCGCCATGGCCTCCCTGATGAGGGAGTCAAACGCGATCTCTGCCTTCAGGTCCTGCAGCACCGGCCTGCAGCATGAGCTGCAGGCACTTGCACATCTTCAACAGGGGCCCGAGCAGGCACATGGCCACCCACGGTTCCATGGCAGACAGAGCAGGACAGAAGAAAGAAAACGCAGGAAAAAGCAGTTGGGGGCAAAAGGGTGATGTCCCTAAAAGGCAGAGGGCAACCACCAAACCTGCTAAGGGTGTCAGTCCCTGCCAGAGGTCCCAACTCACGGGAGCATGAGACAAATGGCTGTCCGGCGAGACCCCTTTAAGCATGTCTGAACGGAGCTCCAGCCCCGCCTCCGGAAAGGTCTGGTGGCCTTTTGCCCTCTTCAAAATGGTTCCGGGCTTCTGCTTTTGCGAAAAAGCGTGCCGCCAATCTAGACGCGCTTTTCCACAAAAGCGCATCATTATAACGATAACTCCGGGACCAATCTAGACGCGCTTTTCCGGAAATATTTTTAATGGAAAACCTTTTCCGTTAAAAATATTTCCGGAAAATCATGCCAGTCTAGACATAGCCTAGGTGTGAGATCTGAAGTACAAATTGATATGGGGTGAATGACTGGTCTCGGGACTGGAAGAAACCTGAATCTTTTGTGATCTTTGGTGTATGGCAACCAACTATTGTTAAGTTCAGCTTGCCTGATAGACCTGAGTGTCCAGTGGGATTGCCTGTGACTGTTGTAGTGCTTCAGGCATTCACATTTGTTACTGGGATGGCGAAATCTAGTTGCAGAACTAACTGTCAGACGGAGGTGCTGAGACAGAATACATCCCTGCATTTACACCCTCCACACTATTGTAAAACTTTCAGTACAAAATATGCCTTATAAAGTATCATTGGAAAACTGATAACTCACTGGCCAATAATATGGTAAAAAAGAATATGGCAACATTGTGTATGAAGTTGTAAACATCTGCAGAACTTATGAAGTGTTTACACCAGACAAGTCTGGGAAGTGGGTAAGCCTGTTTCTCAATGGCAAAGGACACATTCACCCCCAGCCAGGTTGCATTAAAGCTGATGGGCCATCACCTATCACACAGCCATTCTTTGGCAAGGAAAGGTAACAGCAACAAAGCCTACTTCCCCCTTCTGGATTGCATGTCTCCTTGCTCACAGCTGGAAATAATTTTCTCTAAGGGCCACCCTCAGAAAGATACATTTCAAAGGGTGATGAAACTATAAAAGTGAAGGACAAACCACTCCAAATCTCTTGCTATCCATCTATTTTGAACCTAAGACAAAAGGATCCAGCTCTTTGACTTTGGGAGAGATCCTAGCCTGATGGTTTATCAGTAATGCTGTTGGAAGCATGTGATAGGCATTTCACCTTGAACCAAGCTGAGTTTGTAAAGTTTAAATACTAAGAAGCATTTTATCTTTGTTTTTCTTATAACTATTTATGACTTTAGTGCCCTGTTACTCTGTGGGTAATGCTATTTAAGGTGGTATTACTGTATATTGCTCCCTTAGGCCTACAGTAAGAAAATATTTCAAAATAATTACATTTGACATAATTCCCAATTTTACAAAATTGAAAGTGTGTCCCCCACTATGGGGAAACCTTGAAATTAGTCCAATGCAGGCTCCATTAATGGGGATGCACTACCTTGACATAGTACCTCAGGAAGCACTGGGCAGTAATTAGTTCGAATTACTCTGGGGAGTAGCGGCACCGGAGCATCCACACTAACACTATTCTGAAATAATAGTTTTGAAATTAGTATTATTTCCAGAGAAATGCAGGAGTACAGATTTCAAAATTAGTGTCCCCTTATTTTGAAATAACAGGCTTGGCAGTGTGGACTCTCCTCTTATAAATTTAGGGCCTTATTTTGAACTAAAGCCTCAGTGTAAACCAGGGCTTATAGAGGGCCACAGACACTGTTATCTGAACACAGAACACACATGGGGGGAGGGGGCAGGAATTTGGGACTGGGAGTACACAGGATCACCCTACAAGTAATAACCAAGGCTGGTTGGAGACAGTTTGGTTGATGTGTTGCTGACAGGCTTTGGTAATCAGAGTTGCTGAACCAGAACTGTGGCTATACACAGGTGCACAGGGTGTGGCCTACATGCTGGCAGGCTGTTTGTGAGGGGCCTGAAAGGGAGCTACAACAGCAAAGCATTTTGCGACACCCAAGCTTGCAGAACAAGGGTGACAATCCCTCACTGGTCTGGATTGTATTTCAACATGTCATAGACATCTGCCCTGCTTCTGACAGTCTGCCCTGAATTTGGCACTAACAGTCACAAACAACTCGACAATATGACACAGGAAGGAAATGCTGCTTACACCAGCAGGGTGTACAAAGGCCATTTAGCATGCAGCACATTTGGTGAGTTTTAGAAATCACACCCCTCTAGTGCATAAAACTGCACTGCACAGACAAGCCCTGACTTAGTTACACCTACAACCTGACCCCTGCTCATCTTGAAAGCCACAGCCAACATGAATGGAGTTTTCCAAAATACCATCTATGTACACAGTGAGTCTATTAGTGATGACACACACTGTCCAATGCTACTGTGTTACTCCCAGGACTATTTTTGAAACAGTAGAAGGATACAATTTTAAAATGAACAGCAAGTTTCACAGAATAATTGGACAGTCAATACGCAACTCAAGAGGTTCGCTATGAAATTTTCTCACGCCACCATTTAAGTTACCAAAATGAAGGCAGAGAGGGGATACGATTTCTTTTTATAAATTCACCAGAGAGGTAAACACCAGGAAGGAATAGTCCTGTGGCACCTTAGAGGCTAACAAAAATACATATAGTATCATGAGCTTTCATGGGCAAACTCCACTTCTTCAGATAAGCTGGAAGAGAGATGAGCTATTCAAACAAAAGGACAATGCTGACACAAAACCGAACAGGTATAAGCTGGCTATGGATGAAATGGAAATTAGGAGTTTCTAACCATCAAAGCAGTTAAGTTCTGGAACTATCTCCCAATAGAAGTTGTGCAGCCAACAACCTAACAAGCTTTAAGATGAAATTAATACATTTCTGAATAGGGTTATATATGTGCGTTGCCTGCTGCAGGAGACTGGACTTTATGACCCATGAGGTCCCTTTGAGTCCTAGGCTGGACAGAATAAAATAGAATTACATAGTTTTTTTCATGAAAGCTCAGAATCCACCACGGGCAGAGAATTGCTGAGCTCACGACACAGCTTCTTTTGCTTCACTGCTACAACGCTATTCACCGTACAGGCAAGGAAAAAACGGTGCATTTTTATCTACTCGGGAAAGTGAAAATGGGCCCCTTCTTACATGGGTCCAGTAACAAAAAATAAAAACAAAAACCCACACCCCAAGATTTTATTGCTTTCTGCTCCCATTGGTGCTGCAGGTCCTGGATTCTGTCTGGCTACAAAAGTTTGTGTTGGTCTCCATTATGGAAATTCTATCATCAGTTTGTCAGAGGTTTTTATTGTTAATATCAAGGAGTGACAAAATCTAGGTAAACTGAGGAATCTTGAATACACTTGCTACTATGATGTGAGTCAATTAGCTGCCAAGACGCAGAGATGCTTTTGTAATGTGAGTCTGCTGAGACAGTGAAAGGGCAGCTTGATTTTATGGCATCCAACTGCCTCTGTGTCCTCATTTCTCCTCATTTTTTGAGAGATCCTTCCCTGAGCTGGTGAGGAGATTTGATCCTCCAGCCAATTCAAAGTTTCTTCCATTTCTGGGACAAAGAAAAGTCCAAATGAAGAATCATATCTAACCCAAGTCCAACCTCATCCCCTTGGTGTGGAAGTGCCCTCTCCTCAGTCCAGGAGGGGCAGCAGACATTTGGGTTGCAGCCCAGAGACCTCATCTAATGAAGCAGCTGCCCACATCAGTCTCAAACATCTGAGTCACTCTTCCTTTGCAGCTCCTCCTTACAAGGGAGTATGGGGATCCCACCCCAATTTGCAGCTGAGAGGTGCATTCTGCCTGTATTGCCACTAATGACTAACTCCTTCCAGCCTGATAAACAGGCTGTTTCTGCAGCTGAGAAGCCAAGGTGGTTCCTTGTCCCAAGGAGAGAGAGTTTGATGATGAGAGTGGGCTAAACACTGGATTGAGAGCAACAGACTCTTGGGTTCAATCCCAGCTCTAATATCAATTCCCACTGCGGCTTAGGTTAAGGCAGCTAACGCCACTGCCTCCAACGTAAACCAGAAAACAATTCCTCACATGCCAGCTCTTGGAAGAAGGAAGTGACAAGCAGTTAATGTTTGTGAAGTGACTCTATACAGCAGTCACGAGAGCACATGCAAAACCCTCTATAGTCTGGAGGCTGAGCAAGTCCTTAGATCTCCCATATCCCCGTCCTTCACCAAAGTTTATTTGAAAGTTGGTACCTTGGGGTATGTCTCTAATTAGAGAGCCTAATTTGAACTACCTACTCCATGCCGCGTGTAGCCGCGGGCACGGAGTCCGCACTAAGGGGGATTTAAAAATGGCGGCGCCCAGCAAGATGCAAATGAAGCCTGGGATATTTAAATCCTGGGCTTCATTTGCAACTTCGAATGCCTACATTAGCCACCCTAGTTCAAACTAGGGTGGCAGTGTAGACATACCCTTGGAAACTTTTCTAAATGTTGGTTACTAGTGAAGCTCACTTCTTTCTTACTTGGTAGTTCAGGGAGGTTTGGGAGCATCCAGTGAAATGTCACATTGCTCTTCTCCCAAACCTTCAGATTGCCATTGGAAAAGAATAATTTACATTGGCAGGGGAGGCATACGCAGAGATCCACATGCCCACTTTAAGGTTCCCAGAAGGCTTCGCAATTCGGCCTTAACTAATAACTTGAATAAACTAACAGAATAAACACTTCACAACACAACACAACGGATTTATTCATCCAATCATATTGGTATCAAAGTGAAAATAATCAGTGTAAATCTCTTGAACAGGCACCATGAAATAATTTATATCTAAAAATGAGACCTTGCTTCATAAGGGATTTGCTATACAACATACATAGTATGCCATGTTTTACAAATGCTTAAAAGAGAGATGGACCTAAGCATTGAAGAGTTTTATAAAAGTTTACATTCTCATCCCATGGGATGTACAGAACTATGTAGTTTACACAATTTTACTATCATCCAAAACATCATGTTTTAGATATATTAGACAAAGCGAGAACAAGGTAAATTCTGTTTCCATAGGAACGTAAACACAGCTCGTCACTAATGACATGCTTCCTCATACATAGTTTACTAAGTCAGTTAAACACAGTTTTAAAGCATTCCATTCAGCTTATTGGGGTTAATACCACAATCAGGAATTCTCCCAACATTACTGGCAGACAACTAATCAGTGGCCTAAATAGACTTATAACCCCTCTAATGTACATAACATTCAGAATCACATGCAGGCTCAGGGCCAGAATGCTCAGCTTGTGAAGGGAGGTTCCCCTGGTCTCATAGCACAAAGCTGCTCTAAAGCCAGTGGAGGATCCTCCCTTCTACGAGAACCTTCATGCGCTGTGGAATCACCAAAGAAGCTCCAAATTCCCTTCTTCCTGGTGTGTGAAGAAACAAAGAGTGACCAGCACACCACTGTACCCCAGGGATACCTTCTCCACGGGTCCTGGGGGTGGTATGGTCCACATCGATTTAAAGGCTGACCTAAGGTTGAGCCAGCCGAAGCTTGGGTAGGACTACCAGAGTCTCCCCAGCCAGATTTAGAGCAGTGCAGTTAAGTCACACTGGAGGATCTGCCCCCAATATTCATATATTTTTTTTAAATGAAAGGATTTTTCTATTTACAGCCCACAGCATGGAAAGTGCGTGTACAAAAAAAACCATACACAGTGCATGGAAAGTCTCCAGATAATATTCCCAGAAAGGTGTTCTTTTCTCCTGTGTATTGTTGGTTTTCTGTCAGAGAACAACATGTTATTGCTTGCTTCGGATATATTTATCAGAGTCCATAAATCCGTTAGCTTAATCATCTGTGCAGTTGAAAGCCGTTCACATTTTACAGCTGAAAAAGGCACTACTTTATATACATTAGCTTGAACAGACAGATTTCCAATTCTGACCAGCAGACACAAGAAATCAGTAGAGTCAGTCATATTCTAATGTTGGTGGTCCCCTAACAATATTGAAGTAGCCAGCTAAAGCGCCCAGGTCTATGTACAGCGACCGTTGCCTTTTTAACAGCTCTGATTCCTCCAAACTTCCCGTACATGAGGAAGAATCTGAAAAGGAAAGCGGTGAACTGTATTAATATCACAGGATCAGGGTCGGCCCACAACATTTTGGCATCTGAGACGGGGAGCTCAAATGACGCTCCTATGCCCCCTCACTTGGGCCAAAACTTTGAACGGTATCAATTCTGCCTTCTTCCTGTTCTACTCCTCTCATGGTACTGCAGAGAGAATATGTAAGCACCAGACACAATTTTCTACACTCTGGGTCCTAGTGGCGCCCCCCACAGCCTGGCACCTGAGGCAGCCGCCTAAGTTCGCCTCATGGTAAGGCCAGCCCTGCACAGGATCTAAGACAAAAACTCATTTCAAATACTACCAATGTTTTTAAATGGTCTAATTCTTATTTTTACTCCTTTTTGGAACTTATTCAAAAGAAGCTTCATTTTTAAGCAAAGTGTTGTAAGTCATTGGCATCTCTAGAGAAAAGTGGGCTAGACTGATTGAGACTCTGAGGTGGAGATGGATGGGCTAGAGCCGGTTACAGCTCCTAGGTTCCTAGAGCCTGACAATAGAGCAAAATCAAAACTGTATGGGTCTTGAAAGACCCATATACCAACTGGGAACTATCAGAGGGAAGCAGAGATCCCTCAATAGTGCCCTAAAACAGGATTCCAAAGGAGAGGCTGGGCTAAGTCAGGAAACTCTACCAGCATTATGCCAGTTCAGAACCAACCCTCAACTGGCCAGATTACAACTCCGCTTAGGCTGTGCAAAATATAGAACTGGGGCTGGGCCTCTGCTCTACTTAGCACATAATTTCATAAATTGCTATGGCTCTAAAGAAGCTACTACAACCTCAGGACACCCTCAAGCACTCTTCCAATGAGTGCTCTGGGCACTCACATGCCAAACTTAGACTCCCAGATTAATGGCCGAACGTCCCTTGATCTTCAACACAGCCCTGCCTCTGGAGGGCTGCTGTAGCCAAAGGACTATGCACTTAAGAAAGCAAACTGCAGGATGGTGCCATTATAGAAATTCAATTATATTTGCATTACTTTTATGCTGCTGGGGTTTTGTTGCACTGTATTATTGATTATGCACAAGCATTAGGTGTATTTTTAAATTATTATTTAAAATAAATACATAAATAAATAAAGTGCTTCATTAGGTCTGGGGATTTTGTTTGGTTGTGTTTTGTTATTCAAAGTGCCTGTTGCTAGGATGCATCCATCAAATTTCTCAAGTATTTGTAGACAACATTATTTTTCTTTTCCTTTCTTTTTTAAAATATAAGTCTATTAACAGCTTGCTGGCGCCAGCTCTCCCTTTGGACCTACTATTATATCTTAGGACTCAGCAAGATTTTAACTTGGTTTATGCCTCACCCTTCATAAGCAGCACATAGTCTGGTGGCTTGGTATGTGTGTAATCATTTGCTTTTAAACAGTCCCTTTCAGAGGCCTTGCATGTTAGTGCTGACACTTCTCAACTTCATGGACAAGGTATAAAGAGTTTTTTAAATAAAATAAAGTCATACACCTCCTTCCCTCTCTCCCCTGGACCAATAGCTAATAATAAAACGGACATAATTTTGGAATGAGTAAACACAGGAAAGTAATATGGATTTTTTTTAAAAAACAGTCCTGGAGGACTGCCAGGGTTTCGTGAGGAGCTGATTATTCTGGAATTACAGAATTTAGGCCAAATTCTGGTTCCACTGAAGTCAATGGGAATTTTGCCATATATTTTCATGAGACCTGCATCTGACCTCATCTTGTCAAGATTTTTACTGACTTCTCTCATCAAGAAGTCCTGGAACTCGTTAGCATCATTTGTTTTAGTAGATGCATTGTTTATGTGGATTACGCTATAAGAGCACAAGAGGGGGAAGCTTGCTGTTATACCTGCAATATTTTCTGGCAACTCCAGTTCCTTCCTCGTCAGCAGCCTTTTCCTTTCAAACAGGGCTGAGTCCAGACTTTGGCACCGTGGCTGCTCCTCTGGCGGGGGGTGCAAAGCGTCATGTTTCAATAAGTCTGCTGCAGCGAGTCTGTGATTAGGGTTCCTTTCCAGAGCGGCTTCCAGCAGCTCTCTCATGCTGGTGCTGCAATCTTCTGCAATATCCTCTAACGGGGGCGCCTGCTTGTGTATCTAGCAAACAAGAGAGAAAGCCTTCTCAGCATTCATACGATAAGGCCAAAGGCAACACGGAAGTTTTGGACAATTGGGAATTCCCCTCTCATAACGCACAAGTTATAAAAGCTTGTTACTCTAGAACAGTGCTGAAGAGACCCTATGGAACAGGGAATCATGTAAACCTCACCTGCCTTCAGATTTATATGTAATGCAAAAATTCAAACCTGTTCAGACAAAGGCCTGAGAAACCTTCTGAGCAAATTGGATCCCATTTAAGGCATTGTGCACAAGAGATTCACCAAGCTTCAGTGCAAAACTGGATTGAAATTTAGAGTTTAATTACTTTTGTTCTGAGGTTTTAGGTTTGTTCAAACCCCATAACTCCAACAAATGTGAAATGATTTGGACTTGAAATGGCTGCATTTTGCACAACTCTAAGTTCACCCCCACATCACATCCAAGAGCCATAAATCTGTAGCTGTTTAATCTTAACACTGGCGCTCTCTCAGTCTCTGTGTCTCCTCCTAATCATCACAGCTGTCTTTTGTGCGCTACAGTATTTCTTTGAGAGTTGGGCCATTGGCATCTTGCCTCTAGCAGCAAATATTTCAAGTCCCTTGGAAAGCTGGAGGTTTACCAACTAGAACCCAGGGCGCTCTCTCTCTGGCTGGCTGATCAGGCTGTTCTAGGGATACTTACTATATAGAGGTAGGATGGATATGAGGTGCGAGGGTATCGATTCACCCACGGCGGGCTGCCAGTCTGCATGTGAATGATGGTAGCCCCCATGCTGTAGATGTCCGCTTTTGTCGTGTGCCCTCTGCAGAGTATCACTTCGGGGCTCATGTAAATCTGGGAAGAGCATTCAAAGGAAGGTGAGCCTCTGCTTTTTTGCCTTCCCCCTAGGTTAGTTACCATGGGACAATACCCCCTGCCCATCCCACTTACTCAGCTGTACATCCTGCATACCCTCAGAGAAGCCACAGCCACCCCACAGCATGAAGAGAGTGTCACTCAGAGCCAGCCAGCTCCATTCAGTATTCAGCTGGCCAGCCTGCATGAGGTACTGCCTCTTGCTGGTGGATGAGGATGCTCTCTGCACAGCATTCCTACAGCTCCTGGGTCTGGGGAGCTAAATTTTGACAGGCCAAACAAACAGTCCACCCATTAGATTTGCAGGCCAGTCTATTTGCTTCAGTTTACACTTCTCCCTCATCCACGTTCCTCTAAAAATCTGGTAAACCAGCACTGGCATTATCTTAAATTACCAGCAACAAGAACTTAACTTTGCATTGTTCCTTTCTTAACTGCTGCAGGAGTGGCAAGTCACACAGAGCAATAGCTCCATATAGTTATACCACCAGTTACCACTTCTATATCAGAGGTGTGATGGCAGTGTAAATACCTGCCTGGACAAAGGGAATAGCAATACCCATCTCTCTCTAGGGCTTTCAGAGATTACAGAAAGGAAACAGGTGTGTTATGGGAAGCTAAACCATCCACTGATGACACAGTAACCTTGCAAACCATGCAGGCCCTGCTGCTGATGAGGCTGGAGGGATACAACAGCAGGAAGCACATCATGAGTCTCTCCTTCTAGGTCCTAAAATGTATGGGGTAGCCAGTGTGTATTCCCACAAAGCTTAACCTAAAGTTTGAGTCTCCTCTCACCCCCATAATCCCTCCTCTGTCTCTTATGAGGCTGCAGCGTGCCAACAGCAGAGCAAATACCAAAGACTCTTGCTCTCTTGTGGTTTTTTTTCCAAAGCAGGTGGAAGAGATGAATGTTTGCACTAACGGACTGGATAAATTTGCATATGCCTTGTGAAAGTACAGGACTGCAGGCACCTAACTGGCTTCCCACTACAGAATCATTTAATCAATCCTACATAAATAGAAAGTCTGTTTTTCCTCACTAAATGCACTGGGCTCATGAAATCTTGGTCTAATTCCAATTCTATTCTAACTCCACCTTTCTATTCCACAAACCTAAATATTCCTCCCTTGGAAAGTCCCCCCCCCCCTCAGGATTTCACCACTTTCCCACTACATGGCTCCATCACCTATACCTTCACATGGAATGAAAAGACATTTTGTCAGCCTAACTGCACAGGGATAGTTATTTTTAGTAAGGTAAAAGGGCCTCAGTTCTGACTCTTTTGACTAGAAAGCCAGGAAAAAAAAAAGTTCCCGCATCCTCCTGAAACAAAATGTTCCCTGAAACATTAGTTGTGTCTTTGAAATGTAGTAGTCCGTGCTGCCTTGCAAGTAGTTGTCACTCCCTGAGAGAGGGTTATGTAAAGGTCTCCTTTAAACACATACTTATGTTTTGCTCAGAAATGCTATCAATATGACAAGGGTCAGAATTTCTGTGGAAACATTTCCTGTAGCACAGCCTCTTTGGCAATACAAAGCAAGGTCATACTTTCTTCGTGCATCCAAGCCAACTGCCTCCTCTTGGTTGCTAAGCAAGCCTCCTATCTTGGACTTTAGACTTGTAAGGAGCCCCACTGGCTTGTCCAAGAGCTTGCAGCTGCACCTAATCAGGGCCTAAAATCTATCTTAGGTATCTCTATGGGAGAATATTGGATTCAAGGATCTTGCTGTGACTTAGGCCAGGTCTACATTAAAGAGGAAGGTGTAGTCAAGATATGTAGCTAGCGTCGACGTACCTTGATTTGAGTTTGCCCACCATCCTCACAACAGGGAGACCAATGGCAGCAAACACTCCTGTCAGCTTCCCTTACTCCTCCATACCATCAATGGAATTTAAGCATCTACAGAATTGGCTGCAGCTGATCTGGGGTTTTGGGATCTAACTGGGGTACCTAACTCCCTTTATGGAGCTATCCCTCAGGAGTGAAACCCTCGCCCTATTGACATCAATGGGAGTTTTATCACTGAATTTAAATTTCATCCTTGGATCTGGATTTAACTGTAGTTAGTAAATTGATTTGTTTGGGGATAATAGAACAGTTACACTTCCCCAGTCAATAATCTAAATAGTCAACTGTAATCAAGACTATATTACAAAACTAATCAACTGTAAGAAAAAACAATTTTTAAACCATTATAAAACTTTGATTTCACTGAAGTCTTTAGCAAAGGTTACTTCCCCTAAACTATATCAGTCTGGAAAGTCTAAGAATGGTCACAAGGCAAAAATGATGTAATCACAGGACATTTCTCATGCACCCACTCATACCTCTGTCCCTCGGAGGTCTTTGGGGTAGTACGTGTCATCAGTCATTTGAACACTTAGACCAAAATCCACCAAAACGGCTTTTGTTGACATGAAAACAATGTTGCTGGCTAAAGACAAACAAGTAAAAAAGACAATTTTAGGTTCTAGCAAGCTTGTGCCATTTATTGTGCAACATAAACATCTCATGCAAAACTAGGGAAAAAGGAAGACAGACCAAGCTCTAGCAATAAACATATATTCAACCTATACAGACACGTCATGACTCAGTATCACCACTGGCAGTAAGTTATTTAGCTCCGAGATTTATAATGATCTAATACAAACAATGATTAATCCTGTCACACCTTAAAGACTAACAGATTTATTTAGGCATAAGCTTTTGTAGGTAAAAACCACTCCTTCAGATGCATCTGATGAAGTGGTTTTTACCCATAAAAACTGATGGCCAAGTAAATCTGTTAGTCTTTAAGGTGTCACGGGACTCCATGTAATTTTTTCAGACACAGACTAACATCCCTTTAAGAAGGATCTTGTAGGCCAGACTATTTTCTAACAATGAAAGCCACAGGCATGGCACTGGCAATTTCAACAGGGTCACCTCAAGGAGGCAAGGGTCATAGAGCAAGTAGATGTCATAGCCTCCAAATCCTTAGGAGTTCTAGGATTCAGAACAAAGAGATTTCACATGTAGGGCTTCTCTCTGCTGAGCTCCAAGCCCTCAGTCTCACAGGTAGCTGTGACATGATGCCCCCAATGCTCCTGTGCCTGACTGCCCCTTCAGTACAATTCAGCAGTGGAATTTAACACTGTTCTTCATGGTTCTTCTAGTGAAAATGATTGGGAAGGAACCATGTACAGAGTGGCTATTATGCTGGCCACAGACCTGCCCTATGGGTGTTTCATGGTTTCCTATATCCAGGCAGGTTTTTCTTTGATAGGATATTAATCTTCATGGATAAGGGAGAAGCGGTGGATGTGGTATACCTAGACTTTAGTAAGGCATTTGACACGGTCTCACATGACCTTCTTATCAACAAACTAGAGAAATAAAACCTAGGTGGGGCTACTATAAGATGGGTACATAACTAGCTGGACAACTATTCTCAGAGAGTAATTATTAATGGTTCACAATCGTGCTGGAAAGGCATAATAAGTGGGGTTGTACAGGGTTCTGTTTTGGGACCGGTTCTGTTCAATATCTTCATCAATGATTTAGATGATGGTGTAGAGAAAGTACAATTAGATGATGGCACAGAGAGTACGATTATTAAGTTTGCAGATGATACCAAACTGGGAGGGGTTGAAAGTGCTTTGGAGGATGGGATCAAAATTCAAAATGATCTGGACAAACTAGAAAAATGGTCCAAGGTAAACAGGATCAAGTTTAATAAGGATAAATGCAAAGTACTCCACTTAGAAAGGAACAATCAGTTTCACACATACAAAATGGGGAGTGACTGTCTAGGAAGGAGTACTGCTGAAAAGGATTTAGGGTCATGGTGGACCACAAGTTAAACATGAGTCAACAGTGTGATACTGTTGCAAAAAAAGCATCCCAGAATCATGTTTGCATTAGCAGGAGTGTTGTGAGCAAGACGCGAGAAGTCGTTCTTTCGCTCTGCTCTGCGCTGATTAGGCCTTAACTGGAGTAGTGTGTCCAGTTTTGGGCACCACCTCTCAAGAAAGATATGGAGAAATTGGAGAAGGTCCAGAGAAGAGCAGCAAAAATGATTAAAAGTGAAATGATCATGATTTGAATTTTGACATCATGACCTATGAGGGAAGGCTGAAAGAATTGGGCTTGTTTAGTTTAGAAAAGAGAAGACAGAAGGGACATGATAGCGGTTTTCAAGTATCTAAAAAGGTGTTACAAGGAGGAGGGAGAAAAATTGTTCTCCTTGGCCTCTGAGGATAGGACAAGAAGCAATGGGCTTAAACTGCAGCAAGGGAGGTTTAGGCTGGACATTAGGGAAAACTTCCTGTCAGGGTGGTTAAAATCTGGAATAAACTGCCTAGGGCGGTTGTGGAATTTCCATCACTGGAGATCGTTAAGAGCAGGTTAGACAGACACCTGTCAGGGATGATACAGTGCTTGGTCCTGCTGTGAGGACAGGGGACTGGATTCGATGACCTCTTGAGGTCCCTTCCAGTTCTAAGATTCTATCTTTTAAATCACAGTGCTTGTTACATGCTATAGCCCTTATCCTGGAACCCGAATGCAAGTACCAAGTAATCAACAGAATCACATATTTATTATGTTGTCATATCTTTTTCCGTGTAGTAAACATCACAGGTTAAGTTGCAATTGCAAACCAAATCATAAAAACACTCAGTTCTTTGTGGGATGAAACTTTCCATGTTTACTCTCGGGGGAAGGGGGGCGGGGGGAAATCTATCTATATCTATATAAAGTCTGAGATAAATCCTTGCAGCCCTTCTTTTCAAACCCTCTTGGTCCCGGAGAATCTACCTTTGTGCAAGTTAAGAAACAAAGCAGACTTGTCATTTTGCAACCTACTGGTTCTTTAAGTGAGCTTTCAGATCAACATGTTAGTACAGTTGTGCAGACACAGATTAATGTAGTATGACAGTGAATAAGAGAATGCAGAACATTATTCTGCTGTAAAAACAAGCAGTAACAGGTTGAGATAGGTACCTTTAACTGCACTTATTGTTCCCTAGACTACAAAGTTTGAGATAAGAGCTCAAAATCTTATCTGAGTAAGCTCTAGCACAAGACTTCCAGTAATTCCTCATTTTGGCAGGGCTGCAAATACCAAGAGCCTGATCCTAAATTAGTGCAAGTAAATGGAAGGACTCCTACTGACATTCATGAGCTTTGGACCAGGCCCCAAAAGAGCAGTTTCTTGATCTCACAGCTTCCTAGCCAGAGGTTAAAATAAGGAGGGGCTCAGAGAGGCACAGCTGAAAGTCACAGGGGGAGTTTCTGCTCCTGACCCTGGCTTGGGGAAGCTCTGCTCCCCTCCAATTCATCCTCTGCTGGAGGATTTGATGGTAGAGGAACCTGAAGCAGACCCTGGAGCTTGCGATTTCTCCACCAACAGAAACTGGAGGGGAAAGAAATATTGTCCCAGCTGGGAGACCCTTTTGACCTCTTCTCCTTTAGAGAAATGGTCTCCCTTTCACCACTGCCCCCTCTCCTCTACCTGGAAGGTAAGAATGAGACACCCCATCTGACCTGCCCTCCTCCAAAAGGAGATGAAGATTCCACTGCCATGAGCTCAAGAGATTTTACATACATTCACTTTTGAAACTTCAACTTCTAAAATGGATAAAAATCTCAAAAAGCTTCAGAAAGCAGAGACATCTTCTCCATTTGCAGCTGTTTTTGCCTCAACACACATTCTTCACAATGGTCAAGCCCTTCAGATAGAAACAAGAGGAGGGGAACACCGCCGATATTCCCCTGCTTCTGTACACATACATCCATGCAAGCGCAGGTGTGCATGCACACACACCCACACCTTTGTCTGGCTGGCTGCTTAGCTCATTTCAGAAGTAATTCTCCTTTTATCCCCATTCTCTCTCCACTGACGCAACTCGTCACCACAAGATGACATAATGCATCACCACCACACAACATCCAGACCAGTGATGACAACAATCAAAACTGATGCTCTCAAGCCTGCATTTTAATCTATTTAACCAATGTTCCTAACCCAGCCAACACAGGGAAGTAAAAAAGTATTTTTTCCAATTTTCAAGCAATCTTTTTTCAAATCTCAAATATGTATGAATTATTTTATCTGATCCATCACTTACAAGTGTTAATTTAATTGTTATGATCAATGATTGCGAATTATTCTGCAAGATATTTACTGGAAAAAAAAGACACAACATGCAAGTAGGAAAAGAAATGAGTTAACTTAATAGTTGCCCCAGTTTCAAAACTTTACTTGTAAGAATTTTTAAAAAAATCATATGCATAGAATAAGCAGCTCTTGACAAACTACTGTTGCCACCATTTTAGGCATTGTTAGTCTAGCAGTACATTTAAATGTTTTGAAGCCTACTTTCAAACCCTCATGGTTATCAAAAAAAATCAGTTGCAAAATAAATATTAGAGGCCAAATACTAATTAAAAACCATCTTTCCCTGAGAAAGGCAAGCAGGATTTGACCTCTGGCAGTGTTGCTGGGCAGAAATAATATTTACGGGCAGTAGCAGTTACATGTGTCTTGATAGAAGGTAAATTAAAAGCCTCAATAAAAAAAATTAATCAAGTGCCTACTTCAATTACATCATGGGAACAGTCTCAAGAATAGCAATGCAAATCCACAGTACAAACATCAATAATATAGAACTAAAACAGAAGCACAAAATGTTCATCCTTGACAAAGAGGTGACAGAGAGGGGCAAAGTTTTAGCCCAATCACTCTGAGAGGGTTTGTTTGAACTCTTCAGGTTCTTTGCCAATTCCCCTCTAAGACCAATAGGACTTGAGGGTCCTCCATGCCTTAGAACTGTCCTCTAAAGTAGAAGTATTCAAAAAATGGGTAAACATTCCATACGTAACAAGAAAAAGAAATAGCCTTTTAAAGAATGAAAGATACATACGTTTTATATCATGATGTATGACTCCTTTTGAGTGAAGGAAGTCAAGTCCTTTGAGGATATGTTTAGTCACCCAAATGATCTCAAATTCTCTCATAGGCCCACAGCTCTCCAATTTTTCCATGACAGACCCTCCCTCTCCTGCTTCCATAAAGAGATGGATAGTCTCATCCCATAGGATGGCACCATATAGCTCAGCAATGTTCTCATGGCGGAAGCGGACTTGGATTTCAACATCCGATGGTTTGAACTGTTCCACGGGAACCTACCAAATTGAAACACAACGAAGACAAACCAGCTTCAGCAAAACTTATTCTGAAGTTAGCCACTTTAAGGCTAGGTTTTCTACATGTTAACTGAAAATAAAGGCAAACGCAACTATTTTACTCATTAAGATATATCTATTTTTGCTTTCTTGAATTGTTCCTCCTTTCTGTGCCAGACAGACACAACTTTTGGACTCATGCCCAAAGAGAGAGTATTGTCCTAGACAAAGCTATATAGCAACATCCATTCCCATCCAAGCCTAAAGAGTTTGTGCAATTCAGACTTCCTAGCTCAATAAAAAAATAAAAGCTCCATTTTCCTACTAACCAGCTGAAGTCTCATCTATCCTCTGAGAATCACATGCTGCCAACAGCATGTGTCTGAATAGGTGTGGCTGTCGCTACTTACACTTGCAGTAAAACAAACAAGTTCAGCACCTTGTGAAACTGGGTTAAATGCTGATCAATACAAAAAAGCTAGCACAGTACCACAATGGTGAAGAAAGTCACTGTGAAGTGACAACCTACTTTCTTTAGGTAGCAGTGATAGAAGATACAGAGCAGTGATCTTCTGCTACAAAAGAGTTCAATGTCCCTGGCTACAAACCACTCATGGCTACAAACCAATTGTTTCATAGGTGAATGTTTATTTAATTGAGAAGTATTGTTTGCATAGGGCTCATGTACACAATTCTAACCTTGAGGTGTGATGTGATCAAGCCCCAAACTAAAGCAGTCCCAGTTTGGGTGCATGGACTGGGAAAAGGCATGTGAACCCCTCCTTCCAGCTCTTCTGCACGAGGGAAAGCCAGGTTCATGTTCCCTGAGCAACGGGAAGACACTGTTACATGGCCCATTGGGGGGGAGGGAGTGGATGAGAAGCCACAGAGTGTGTCTTAATCTGAGCCTTCGCTTGCCCCCACATATTTATTACTAAAAACAATATAGTGCTTTAAAGAAAAATGCTGAGTTGTTTTCATACAAGAGATGGGCCTGACAAACTCTAAGTTGTGGAAAATCAAGGATCTTTTTTACTTATCCTTACAATACACCCAAAGGAAATATGGAAATAGCACATATTACATGTCACTTAAACTCCAATACAGGAAAGTATTTGCACATGTGATTAAGTTCCAGAAGAGTATCAGGATGCCGTGTAGGCACCATTTGCGTCAGAAAATGAGAGTTTTGCCATTGACTTCAATGAGGCCAGGATTTCATCTCCAATGTTGTGTCATACTGATTGCTGTAAGATTCAATGTAAAGATCTCCAAATAACATTTTCAACTTTCTGCTGACAGTGCAGAAGAAAAAAAAAGCCCCACTTAGTAATTCAAACACTAAGCACTCTTGAAAAAATGCATTAGTGCAAAGGTTAATCATAGGGCCCTCCCTCCTATGTAATCCAATAAAACCAAAAGTGATACCCCAACTGGCACTGAAATTAAATGCAGAAGTATCCTCTTATAAATTTAGAAAATGTATCCTGTTGCACAATATTTTACTTGGGGGAGAAAAACAGCATACTAACATACCAGCTTGCATGCCATTCGCTTTTTTGTCTCTCTGTCTTGTGCCAAATACACTTTCCCAAAAGCTCCTCGAGGAATAAAATCAGAGCCAATATTCCTGTAGGTCAGCTTCCATGGAAACAAAAGCACATCAGAGTCAATTTGATAGCGCCCATTTTTCGGCGTGATCTATTAAAAAAAAAAAAAAGGAGGGAACCAAACGTTAGAAAGGATGTGGATAATCTGTTTACTAGGATTTAACTTTCAGCTTCTGAAAATTCGACACATGCAGAGAAAGGGTATTCACTTAAGACTACTTAATTCAGCATTTCCTGATCAACCCCTTTGTCCACATGTGACTCCCATGATATATTTAGTAGTCTTAATTTAGAAATGAGAATAGCATGAGGCATACTCATTCCTGACAAATATATTTACATTTTTATCTAATGATTAACTGTCTATAAATTGCAATTAATTGCCTGGCAATACCACCACATTTTCTGAGATGAACTACGAGGGTTGTGTAAATTTACCTGAAGGCTTGTTGGTTCTTTACTGGAACCTGCTAACCTGTTGTGCCACATAGCTGTTACTCATCTTCTGTAACACAGACTATGAGTAAGACTTTCTGCATTTCCCAATGTCACATGAAGCACAGGGAAATAAGACTTATAAATGATCAAAAAATGTGACTGTCTGCAGCTTACTAAAAGGCAAAAGTATGGCTTAAACTTTGACATGTGTCCTCACACTTTGACTTATACTAGGAAAAAAAATGAACATGATTTTATAAATCTGTGTTATTGATGCTATACTAAGCACTTCTATCTTTGATGCTATTACACTTCTGGTGAATAAGTTTTCACTGAATTCAGAATTTACAGTAAAATGAGATATTATATTCCAGATATGGATAATCGATTTACTAGGATTTAATACATTTCTGAATTCACATAAAGAAACAAAAGTGGACCAATGCAATACATTACTTTCATATCTGTGCTGCAAAATGTTTCACATACTGTCTTGCAAAGCTCCTCAGTAGCATGCTATACCCAACAGCCTGTTATGGAGATTTATGTTTTTAAAGTATCATTCATGTTAAAAAAAAAAAAAACACCCAAGCTTGAGCTGTCTACTTTTGAAATAACACAAGATGTTTTTCAATTAAAAAATATTTTCTTGACTGATAAAACTGACACTTATGTATTGCACCTGCCCACAAGAATGAGAGTGTATTTATTTAATATTAAGCTTGCTTCAAGAAGTTAAAAATAATGAAAGCTTTTGTTTATATTTTCATGATTATGAGCAAATAAAAAGAAAATCCGTTATATTTCAAATTGCACTAGGTACACATTGTGGGCAGTGGAGCAAAAAAATGTATGCTCCTTTTGCATTAATGTCCAGCTCCTCTATTCATTCCATATATTACCAGAACAGAGTCTGAAAAAAATGTAACATGTTTCATAGAGAAACAACCTTTTATATTTCTCAGGAATTTTTCCATCTTTTAGAAATTAGCAGATACATTTGTAAGAAACTATTTTGGACTCTGCCACAGATCAAGTGTGAGTTGTCCCTTATAAACATTTCTCATACTTTCCCATACCACAAGGTATCATTAGGAGGTTCTCTCCACTTCCAAAATTCTGCCAGAGCAAACACGGATGACAAGCTACTCTATCTAGCCACTGGGTTGTTGAGAAAGTAAAGATGCTTTGATATAATCTCCAAGGTTCAATGGTAACTTTTTAAAAATAAGGTAAAAAAACCTAAGGATAGAGGCCTGAATCTTGTCAAACATCACAATGTCCAGTGGGCTAGCCCAACAAATATAATTTGTAGGGGCATTTGTGAGTGGAATGAGCAATGGAACATATACCAAAATAAATGGGTCCCTAAATTATGCTCACCATAAAATCATTTATTTATACATCATTTGATTGTAAAGTGATTTGAAAAATACACAGGTAACTTGGTTTTAAAAAAAAAAAAGCACAGGGTATGGCAATAACTAAAAATAACCAAACCCTGGAATCTTTCCAGTAATAGGCAATTCCTGCATCAGAGCATGAAGTCCTAGAGACCAAGCTATTAGGGTGCTCCGTGAGTGTGAAGGAATGGGATGAAAGGCAATGTGTCCCACCACAAACTGAATGGCAGCAGAACCACTCAGCTTCCACTGCAGCAGACCAAAGATTGAAGTCATTTCTGCTCCTTGCACACTCCTCCACAGAAGAGGATCCACATAGAAGGGGTGAGATGATCTATTGACAATACCCTGGTTCCCCTCCTCAGTTGCCTAACTGGTTGCCTGCAGCCACAAAGAACTGGTGCATGCATACATGTGTGTTCTCTGCATAAATTATAATGCACACAAAATAACCAAGTAGCTAACTGAAAGTCCGTCCAGGTGTGTCACAAATACGCAGCACAATATTTTAATGGTTTCTATGAATTTCACTAAGCAAGGCCACATTTCACAGTGTCATCTAGTTTTAAAAGTGAACATATGTTTGCAAAAATATTGTACTGTTTGCAAAACTTTTTATACACATTTGAAACAATTGGCATCAGTTGCACTAATGCCTCAACAACACAAAGGGAGAGTACATAGAAAAGGAGTGTCCCAATGTTGGGGGCCACGCTAATATTTAGATTAGGTGAGAGAGGGAGAGAGAATTTTGAATTCAAGAAAAGAAATAGTCAGAGTATAGTATTCAATAAACAGCACAATTGAGAGTAGACTCATTTGTTTTACATTCACATCTGGAACGAATCTCTGTTAACTATTTATAGCAGACTTCTGATAATTTGGCACCTTTGGGACCCAGGGGGTGCCAGATCATCGGATATGCCGGAGTATCTGGAGGTACTCCGGCGGGGGGGCTGTGATGGGTCTGGAGGGGAACAGCATGGCGTGGGGTGAATCAGGTGCTGGTGAGGGGCAGCGCTGCAGGACCAACCAGGCAGCACCCCAGCTGCTTTGTCCCAGGGTTTCCCCAAGTCCAACACCTGTTAGTTTCAGCAGCGGAGGACTTGGGGAAGCCGTGGGGCAGAGCAGCTGCGGTGCTGCCAGTCACCCAGCAGGGAGGTGAGGGGAAGTGCTGTGGGACCAACCCGGCAGCACCCCAGCTGCTCTGCTCCGCAACGCTTCCCCAGGTCTGCAGCTGGTCAGTTTCAGCAGCGGCAGGCGGCGTGGAGCAGCTCCAATTGTCCGGCTAGCTGGAGCACTTCCGGGTTCCAGTTGGTGCTGGACTATTGGGAGTGCCGGACCACTGGATGCCGGACAATTTGAGTTTTACTGTATATGGAAAATGATCTCTCACTCTCAGAGGCCTCGGGGGAAAGGCCTATTCTTGCTTACAGACAACCCCGTAACCTGAAACATATCCTTTCCGGTAACCACACTACACAGCTATATAATAAGCATCCAGGAATCACCTCCGGTACCAACTCTGCCCACACATCCATACAATTGATTTCATCACTGGATTCAACCACACCAGCCACCAAATCAGAGGCTCATATCCTTTCCGGTAACCACACTACACAGATGCTATCAAATGTGTTAAACAAACTGGACTGTCCCTACAGGAAAGAATTAATGGACACAAATCAGATATCTGAAAAGGCAACACACAAAAACCTGTTGGGGAACATTTTAAACTTCCGGGACACTCATTAAGGGATCTCCAAGTTGCTGTTTTGTTTCAGACCAATTCCACAAGCCAAATACACAGAGAAGGACTGGAACGCCACTTCATTCTCAAGATAGCTCTCATGCTAATGGTTTAAATTGCAATATCGATTGACTCGCACATTATCAACCAACCAAACAACGAAGGTGCCAATGGTTCTTGATGTCTGTGTAGAATCTGTTGTTAGTACTCTTCCTCTCCTAATGCAAACTAATGGTTCTTATCAGCCTCTTTTAACTGTTTAGTCTTTAAGAAGCTAATAGACCAGTGTTTCCAAATTGGTGCTCCATGGAACCCCGGGGTTTTGTGAAGTGAAAGTAAGGGTTCCTTGAGAATGTGGCATTGCCCCGCCCCCTCTTAAAGAGACAGGGAATTTTGCAGGTTTTTTTGCTCAACCAATTCTGGAGGGGCTTTTTTTTTTTTTTTTTTTTTTTTTCCTTGCCAAAATTTACCCTGGGAACCCTAGCAGTTCCTTGAAATTATTTTACTGTGAAAAGGGTTCCATGGCCAAATAAAATTGGGAAACGCTGTAATAGACTATCTGTTGTTTTTTAAGTTTTTCCTGTTAGACTGGCTTGGCTAACCCTTTGAAACTTATCTACCTAATGTCCTCTTCCCCCCCACCCTCCAATTTTTTTCCTCCCCTGCACCCCCTCCTTCCCTTATTTATTCTTGGTTCTGGACTTCCAATACTCCAGTCATCTGAAGTGGGCTTTGCCCACGAAAGCTCATGATACCATCTACATGTTTTGTTAGTCTTTAAAGTGCTACCAGTCTATTTGTTGTTTTTAAAGTTTTTTGTATTTATGTGCGCTCAGACTTTAACCTGAAGGTCTCCTGACACCTGGAAGGCCACTGTATTAGGATGACAAAAGCTATGAGTCAACAGAAAAAAGTTCTTCATACCCATTACCTCAGGGATTAGGGAATTAGTGAAACAACTGGCCCTTATTTTTAAATGTCCATCAACTCCCAGTGAGCTTTTAATTTTGAATCTTAGAACTAGTAATAATAGGATTGCTCTGAAAGCCATCACTAACAGTTATCATTATTTATAATTAGCTGTGAATGAAAATAAATGGGCTCAAGTCGAGAGTTCAAACATTCCTGCAGTTCAGATCCAGGGTCTTCAGATGGAAGCATATATATCAGAACAACATACTCTCTACATGCCAAGGGCCAAATGTGGGATGCAAAGTGAGGCAAACATCCAAAATAAGGGAGCCAGTAAATAAATAAATAAATAAATCCTGGAACATTTAAATGGTCTGGGATTCATTTGTTTTGAGTGAGTAACAATTTCTACCACCTCTGCTCCAAGATGATTTATTTACAATGCAAGTGGTTTTCAACAGAAGTGGAAAGATACCAGACTTCTGTGGAATGCAAATAATTTTGGAACCAAAATGTATACTTCACCCTTCATTTTGAGATCTGAGTGTTATGGTAACAAAACATGCTATAATCCTTAAACAATCATTAACTCCCTGCTATCCTGCGCTGCTGCCTCTGTATCAGAGGCAGGAGCATGGGGTGGAAGGTGGGAGCTAGTCCTCCTAGGCCCGGAACCGACAGAAGCTGCTACACAGCAGCCTCTCCTGCCCCCACCCTCTGCTGCTGCCTCTGATAGAGGCAGCAACATGGGGGGCAGGCAGCTTCCCAGAGCGGACATGCAAGGGAGAGCCATCTTAAAACCTGATTCCCAATGCGTATCGGCTCCTTCCTATCCTCCTAACCTCTGTGTTGCTGCCTCTGCGCTGCTGTGTCTCTATCAAATAGAGAGGCAGTAGTGCTGGGGTGAGGGGGGCAGGTGGCTCCATGGAGCTGTTGCTTGTGGGGAACCAGCTTCCGCTCCCCACCTTGCTGCCTCTGACATAGAGGGACCAAGGGGGGTGGAATGCATGTATGTGATAAGCATGTTATGGGTTAAGCATGACTTTACGTTGACATCCCTACTTGCTAACCATTCCTTGCTGTAATTTTCTAAAGTTTGTAAATGGATGGTGTGTATATCAGATTATCATATTTTGTAGTAGTAGGCACTACAAGGTAGAAGTAATTCTATTGAGATACACTATTCCAACACTGACTTGTTTTGGGAAGGATGATCTTTGCATAAATTATGCATGAAATAATCTAATTGGTTGCACTTTTTCTTACAATTATGCCATACTTTCAGTTATTACTGTTGGATGCTATTATGTCAATGTGCATTTTAAGAATCTGTAGGTTTGTTTTTAGTATGCAGTAATTACATTCAAAATATTCTATTCTCTTTTTCATGCAAAATAACATACCATGTTTAATAGGATTCCAGATTCTTGTCGTCTCTGTCCGGTAATTTGCTTTGCAGTGTTGGATACTTGATTTGCAAAAGCGAGCAAGTCTTCCTCAGTCCCATACCTGACGCACGACAGCAAAGAAACCTCTCTGCCATGGAATAATAAGGATTCTGTACATCCCTCATTTTGATTTGTTTCCTGACACACAGTAATCAGACTGTCTTCATAAACTGCCAGCTTTCCATTTGGGTAAAAGTTTTCCATAATGTCTATCACATCAGACACATTTAAATGTTTTAGCAACAAGTCAATCTCCTCTTTATTGTCACTATCAGTGCTCATATACTCCATTATATGTGAAGTTTAGAAAACTGGACCTGTAAAAGACAAACAAAAATAAAATGTTAGAAACAGGACCAGCAACTAACAAAACTATTTAGTTTTGACTAAATAGGCAGTTAGATAACAGGGTGAGGAGTAATTATTTATTATACTGTTAGATTTTAAGGTGAAGATTTTAGCCTGCCACAGGATAATCAGTTATAAAAATATGAGGATTGACTTTAAGATGCAAGTATATATGCTAGAAAATTCTCAGTGTTCAAATCTGTGAGTGCATAAAAGAATCCTGATGAGCCAAGAAAACGCTGTTCAGAAATCCGAAAAAGTATGTCTGTTCTTCCTGCCCTCCTCTATATTCCAAGTTTCTATTTTTTCTTCATCTGTTTTTCAATTTACATAAAACACTTTTACCCACTAACAAAAATTCTTACAAAATTTTAAGTCAGTGCTATTTCAACCAAATTATTCCCCAACCCACAAATGCTAAGAACCTTCTTTCTTAAACTGCATCCAATCCTCAGACTCCTTAAAATTCATTAAATAAGACTACTATTAAAATAATTAGACTAAGGGGATTCTTGCTCATGTAGATTTCATTAGCCAATGAACGCTTATCTGAAATTAATTCTGAATGCATTGCAGTAAACCATAAAAAACATGAGTCAGATTTGTCTGTATATTCAGTCCCTATTCCCAGATGAATGCATGAAATTTTTCACTTTTGTTTCTTCTATTCAAAACAGTTTGCAAACCTGTCTAGAAACAGCAAGCCTCCTAAAACTGAATGACTGCCCCATGCTCATATGATCATTCACTTCACTGGTCTCATGGAAAGAAAAGCAGAAGATCACAGGGTTCAGATAAGAGGGGAATTTTTGAAGACAAACATATGATACTGCATCCAAGAATCAAAAAGATAACCAGGATTTCCAAGCAGGGCAGGAAATCAGTTCTTTATTGTTCGTTTCCATATTTTAATTTCTATGCTTATCATTTGGAAACACCCTGGAAAGTGGATCATGCTGTTCCCCTAGAATGGAATAAAGTGCATCGCATTTGCATTTGGTTTGCGTTTTCCATAATCTAATGTAACTACCTACTCATGGTAGGAGAGGAAAAGCAGAAAGTGGCATTTAAAAAACAAAAAGGTAAGTACAAGTCACTCATCTTGAGGAAAGCAAGCTGTAATCTAATCTGCTAAAGCTGTCAGAAAATGCAGCATGCCTAGCTGTAGTTTCTATTCAAGGTGTTATCTTTGTTCCCCTGGCTGTAAGGACCTGGAACCCTTCTGAAAAATATTTCTCAAGTCATATGTAGAGAGCATTTACGTCAGAACCAGAATTGAAGAAAACTAAAGAATGACATGGCTAAATTGGCAGATAACTTCAGAGTAAACTTCAAGTTTGAGATCATAGGCCGGGAAAACTCAGTTGATCTGGACCATGGAAAGGAATGTGGCAGGCACTTCTGCAACATGCTGCTCTGCCTCTCTGTAGCACCTTCAGGCTCCATGAGTAAAAAGAAAAGAGGGCAGAAAGCAGCAACATCTCCTCCACCCATGTGCAGCATAATCTAGATCAGTTCACTCTGTGCCAAATGAATGCAAACAAATATGGTCCTGGTCTTAAGGAGGAAGTTTTAGGGGAACTCAAGAAAACATGGCACTCGCAGTAATTACAAGCATGATGGGGGTGGGAGGAACACAACTCCCTTCTCCCCCAGCATTTTCTATTAGACTGATTAGACACTGACTAATCAGAGGCTTTAAAGCCAGATATGGAAGTGAGGGAAGAGAGGACACATATCAGCAAGGCTGACAATAATGCACTAGAGTGAAGGCTCTCTCAATTACTCCCCCAGCCATTTGGGAGAAAAGGAAAAAGCACTGGGATTTCTATCACAGCACTATCCTTAGACCCTATTTTGGAGTCTGTCTCTCTCTCTGTTTCAGACATTGGCTAATATATGTATACATTCCTCTCCTGCCCACCCTTAAACTGCTAGAAAGAAGAACTTACTGACCCTTCCTCACTGCTCAAAGCTTGCTAGCTACTACAGAAGGGTCAGGTCTTCCATAATAAGGACAGGTCCTTCTTACAAATCTGTATTGTGTCTGAACATACTTGTCAATCATGTAACCTGGCATTCAGTGTTATTCAGCTAACAAAATTACTGACAACTCTCATGTTCGGACATCATGACATCTTATGTCTGATTCACTGACAATCTTTCTTATGAGAAACTCTGCTGCACTGCTTGACGTTACTGCTGTTTTACTCACATAATTCTTAACAGTTTCCCTGCTGCCTGCAGAGGTCTGAGCAACAATGAAAATGATCATAATATTGTCAATTTCACTTATCCATGGCTTCAGAAAATACAGATAGCATCAGAGCCTTTGGAGATTATCTACAGATGGAGGAAAGCAATGAACTGCACAGAAGATTTATTTATTAGGAAAATTATTTTAATCACAATAAGGTGTAGAAACTTTTTCTTTTTTAAAAAGAAAGCTAAAATGCTGCAGAAATTAACAATAAAAGCACCACACAAGAAGGGTGGCTCCAACTTGTCCCTACTGAATTTTCTATTTTCCACAAAACCCTATTTAGCACTGCGTATATTTCAGTATAGAAAATGGGGTCAAGTCATTGCCTCTTTAATTCAGTGTTTTCCAAATGTTATCTCACATAAACTTTAGGTTGCAGAAATCAGAAGTAAGCATGAGACCTCCTCTGATCCTTTATCACTAAACATAATCACATGAGGAATCAGCAAGCCAAAGACACTAATTTTCATGAACAGTTTTTAGCCACAAGACAAAAGGAAAAAGGACACAAAAGGAAAAAAGATAAGAAAAAGAAAAAAGAAAAAGAAAAAAAGATGTTGCTTTAACAACTTCTGCATTCTCAGTTTTATCTCCACTTTCCCCCAAAAAAACCCTACACAACTGGAGGTTTCAGTTCACTGAGACCACAGGGCACCTGCATCCATACATGATTACTTGCAGGATTAGGGCCTGGAAATGAAAACTAACTTACTCAGTGAAAACACATCTCTACTGTCTTTTTTTTTTTTAAATGAGGAAAAAGGTATAGTGTGACTAGTAATCAGTTATACATAAAAGAGTGAATTTTGTATTTTTACTTTTAAGTGCTTTCAAGGAGGGCTTTAAAATTATACTCTCCAACCACTGGAAAAAAAACATTATCTGCAGAAAGTTTTCATTTATTTCTACAAAATTTAGGCTCTCTCAACAGGAAAAAACTTCTAGACAGAGTGATTGTAAGCAATAACCTTCCAGATACGAACCAACACAAGCAGATGTCCTTTAATCTTCAGACAGACAGCTCCCATAAGCTACAGAAAAGACACCTGCAGCAGTGTAAAATCCTAATGATTCTAAATTGTCTTTAGGGCTGTTCAGATGTGGTGGGGGGACGACTATGAAATTAACAAGAACCATATCAATTTCAATCTATAGTTTCAAGAACTCTAGAGCAGTGGTTTTCAAACTAGGTAGTGGAATGTCAGGCACTGAATCTCATTGCTGCAGGGTGATCAAGTGACCAGTGGGGGTGGTAAGGCAGGCTACCTGCTTGTCCTGGCACTGCAGACTGTGCTGTACCCCAAAAGCAGTCTGCATATGAAATTAACAAGAACCATATCAATTTCAATCTATAGTTTCAAGAACTCTAGAGCAGTGGTTTTCAAACTAGGTAGTGGAATGTCAGGCACTGAATCTCATTGCTGCAGGGTGATCAAGTGACCAGTGGGGGTGGTAAGGCAGGCTACCTGCTTGTCCTGGCACTGCAGACTGTGCTGTACCCCAAAAGCAGTCTGCAACAGGTGGGGCGGAGGGAGAGCACACAGGGCTCCACGCACTGCCCCTGTCCTGAGCGCTAGCTCCACACTCCCACCGACTGGGAACCTGCTGCTGGCTGCATCCTGGGCCTAGCATGCTCTGTGGTGTCACGAGAGGCAGGAAGCCTGCCTTAGCACCCTTGCTGTTCTGCTGATAGGGAACCGCTCAAAGTAACCCCCTCCTGCCACAGCTCTGACACCAGCAAAGCTGGAGCCCCCTCCTGCGCTCCAAAGCTATCATCCTCAGCCCCACTCTGGAACCCACACTCTAGTCAAATTACGTTGGGTCGTGAGCATCAACAGTTTTCTTCAACTGGGTCGTGAGCAAAAAAAGTTGAAAACTACTACTCTAGGGGATCTACAGACTGAACAGACTGATGCTAAACACAGGCTAATAACCTGGGCAAAACTACTGAATAGGGACAGTGCTTTGGTACGAATCCCAGCACCTTCTAAGCAATGTCACTATCCTCACATAGTTCAGGGACTTTGTAAGTACCAGGCCATTCTCCCATTTTTATATTTGCCATTACTACCAACAATGGGTCAAATTCTGTGATGAGTTCCATAGACAGGCATTTGGTGTCACTTCATGGAACTCTGGAGTTACACTAGAGCTACACCTGTGTAATGCAAAACATAATTTGTCCCTGTTTCTTTAACCCATTACTTGAATACAGACAGTGCAATGGAATATTTTCTGGACAGTAATCTTCATTAGGAGACAGATACACCTTCCAAAAGGGTTTCAAAGAGAAACTAGAATAAGCTTGCACCTGTCACATATGCAATATCCTTAAACAATATGAGCTCCTACAACTGTGGAACCTTAAACAGCCATTTGTTCAACCTACATTTAAAGCAGACCCCGCCTAAAGTTTTTGATACAGTATTTAAACAACATAGTGCTTAACAAATTCAATAGGGGATGGAAAAGATTTGAGTCCATCGGGGCCTTTATCAGCTAGTTAGAACACAATGTTTGTCAACTCAAGCTTGAAGTGTGAGACCCACAGACTAATTAGGAGCATTCACAGGCGTATGTTCATGCATTCCATCTGCCATGTTCCTCTTTAGTAGGGACATTACATATTCCTCCAAAATTAGGTTTTCTGACTACATCTGTCCAATACACGATCTAATACAACTTATAGCAAAATACATGACCAAAACAGATAATTTTTGGTGAGAGCCATATAAGGACCTAGAACACATATTTCAAAGGAACATTCTTTTTTCCCTCTCTAGTAGTTCTTAAAATAAAAACAAACCTTCAGACATTGCTATTTCCCCTCCTAGCTATGGGACACTGATGGGTGCTAACATGGTCTGACTGGGGAATAAAGGAACAGATGTATTTTCAGTCCTTGTTTACAGGAGAAGTCATTCGTGAGAATTTGGTTTTGAATCCCTATGCTCATAGCCAAGGAGGTAATGGGCAGGGAGTGTTAGTTTGTGAGCAATGCCATAGGCCAAGGGAATAGGCTGAGTTATACTAATATTTCAACAAATAGTTTAGTAGCACTTTAAAGACTAACAAAACATGTAGATGGTATGATGAGCATATACCATCTACACGTTTTGTTAGTCTTTAATGTGTTTTTTTTAACATTTACCCTGTACAGACAAACTCAGATAGCCTCTGAAGCTACTAATATTTCACTTCAGTAAAAAATAAGGTGAACCCCACTGCCTGCTATGCTCTCTCACTGGCCACTTCTGTCTTTACATGCGTGCGTCATTAAAACCACCAGATGTGCCACAAGGAAAAAACTAATATTCCATTCCATCCACTTTCCTTCCTCACACGCCCCCACACATTCACGTTTACACACATTTCCAAGCAACCTTTCTTCCCAAGAGCATGGAGCATCCCCACCAACACAGTAACGATTTGTGCACAGATACTTTCCGCTCCAGTTTTGGCAACCACATTATACACACAATACAGATGAACAGGACTAACCCGCCATGCCCTGCCGTTCAAAGCCAGGCAACCCCGCCGAAAACAGGAGCTGCATCCCCACAGCTGTGAGCTCAGGCTGCAGAGGAGTTCCCGGCACTGGACACAGTGCGGCCCGCTGGCAGTAACTGATGAGCCCCCCGCACTTGAGTGGCATCTCTTGCAGTGCGACTCCTCAGCGCGCGTTCAGAGGCAACTGGAGGCAAAGCTCCCCAGCTCAGGCCGGCCCGCGTTTCCCTCCTCCCCCGAGCCTGGCGACGGGGGGCTGAGGGGCGGCGGGTCGATACAGCGCCAGAGCAGCCTGCCCGAGCGCACCAAATCGCCTTGGCACAACTGGAGTCCCCCAGCCGGAGGTGGCACCGCAGCGAGCTCCCTACGGGGAGTCTGGGAGGCCCCGGCTCAGCAAAGCTCCCCAGCTCAGGCCGGCCCGCGTTTCCCTCCTCCCCCGAGCCTGGCGACGGGGGGCTGAGGGGCGGCGGGTCGATACAGCGCCAGAGCAGCCTGCCCGAGCGCACCAAATCGCCTTGGCACAACTGGAGTCCCCCAGCCGGAGGTGGCACCGCAGCGAGCTCCCTACGGGGAGTCTGGGAGGCCCCGGCTCAGCGCGTCTCACCCGGAGAGCAGGTGCCGGAGCGGGGTGCTCGGAGGGGCCCACCCCCGCCGCCA